AAAAATACATTAAATAGGGGCCGGCCTGGTGGCGTAGCAATTAAGTTTGCGCACTCTGCTTCGGCAGCCCGGGGTTCGCAGGTTCAGATCCCAGGTGCAGACCAACACACTGCTTGTCAAGCCATGGTGGTGTCCCACATATAAAGTAGAGGAAGATGGGCACAGATGTTAGCCCAGGACCAATCTTCCTCACCAAAAAAAATAAATAAATAAAAATAATAATAATACATTAAATAGAAAATAGTTGAGGGTGCCGGCCCCACGGCGGAGCGGTTAAGTGCTCGCACTCCACTGCTGGCGGCCCGGGTTCGGATCCCGGGCGTGCACCAACGCACTGCTTGTCATGCCACGCTGTGGCGGCGTCCCATATAAAGTGGAGGAAGATAGGCAGTGATGTTAGCCCAGGGCCAGTCTTCCTCAGCAAAAAGAGGAGGATTGGCATGGATGTGAGCTCAGGGCTGATCTTCCTCACACACACACATAAAAAAAATCAGAAATTAATGACTTGGTTAATATACTTAACGAGTTAGTGGTAAACAGATCCAAAAGATAGACCCCTGGCAAAGCTAATCAAGAGGGAAAAACAATCATATGTAGTAGGAATAAGTAAAAAAGTAGGAATAGGAAAAAAGGTATAGTTATGAATAATGTTTTAGGAAAATATAAAATAAGACATTAAAAGTAAAGAAAATAAAAAAATTTTAATTGCCATCATTGAAAAGACCAACAACTATGGAAGAAACTGGAAATATTTTTAAAGGTAAGTAAATAATAATTCTCTCCCCCAAAACCTTGGGCCCAGATGTCTTCACAGAGATGCTTAGAGTTGGGGTTTGGGAGGCAGACCCTAAAGAGTCCAGTGGACAGTGTCCTTGCCAGAGATGCGCAGCCTGGCCTTGGGCGTCCACTTAACCCCCAACACCTCAACTTTTCCATCTGCGAAGTGGGTTGGGAGGACCCCCTGAGGGTTGGTTGAGTTGGTTCCAGCTCAGAGTCCGCTCGCCTGAGGCCACCCTGGCTGTAAAGTGAGGGTGAGAAGAGGTGACCTCCCAGGGCTGTAGTCAGAAGTGAGTGAGCTGACGGATGCAGAGAGCTTGGGGCAGGCTGGCCGGCAGGAAGCAGTATTTCTAATTCCAGCTAATCATGAGGTCATGTCAGGGGCCAGCACACCACAGCCAGCGGGGTCAAGTCCCGCCTAAAACCCCTAAAAAGAGGTTTTACGTTTCTAAGCGGTTGGGGAAAAAGTCGAGAAAGAATAATATTCCTTGACGTGTGAAAATTCCACAGAATTCAGACTTCAGTGTCCGTAAATACAGCAGTACTAGAACCTGGCTGTGCCCGTTTGTCGCTGCATCACCTGCCGCCATTGCTGCTCCGTAACCACAGAGCCGAGTGGCTGTGACAGACGGGGTGTGACTGCAGAGCCGCCAGGGGGGCTCTCCGGTCTTTGCAGGAAAGGTGTGCCAACCCCAGTATCAAACAGTCACAGATGACAGAAGGGAAGGGACCTGTCTCTGCTGGTCGTGTGAAGCAGGAGCAGCTGGAAGGGTGGCATCAGGTCTCGAGAGCAGCAGAGTCTTGTCTGTGGGGGGCCCGGGTGCGAGGCCTCATGCCCCTGCCCTCCCTGCACAGCGCATTTTGGAGGCCAAGGAGGAGAACCCGCTGCCCGCCGCCCTGGTCCAGCCCCACACCGGGAAACTCTGCTGGTTCCTGGACGAGGCAGCCGCCCGACTCCTGACTGTGCCCTTCGAGAAGCATTCCACTTTGTAGCTGGCCCCGAGGGACACGGCAGCTGGGACCATGAGAGGCCCGAGCGGCGGGACCTTCGGGAGCTGGGCCCCGCCGCCACCACGCTCCCGGCTTCCTTTCGGAAAAGCAGCATGGTGCCACTGTAAGCCGATGGGTCCGGCTTCCAGCCCTGCCTGGGGCTCAGCCCACGGCTCGGGGCTTTGGGTGACTCAGTCATTAAAGGGGCGTTTGTTTGAAGTCTCTAGTGTCTCGTGGTCCTTGGTGGGCAGCAGAGCCGGGGTGCCCAGGCTGAGCACCTGGTCTGCAGGCCTCGTCCCAGCCAGCGGAGAGCAGGAACGGGCACCCCAGATGAGTGTCCTAGGGCTGCCTCAGCGAAGTACCACCGTCCAGGGGCCTTAAACAACAGGAGCTGCTTCTCGCACAGTTTTGGGGGCCGGGAGTCTGAGATCAGGGGCGGGCAGGGCTGGCTCTTCTGGAGGCTCTGAGGGGAACTCTGTCCTGGGCCTCTCCGGGCTCCTGGTGGCTACTGGCACCCCTTGGGGTTCCTTGGCTTGAGACACGTCACCCCAGTCTCTGCCTGCATGCTCACGTGGCCTCCTCCCGTCTGTGTCTCTGTGTCCTCTCCTCTTCTGATAAGGACACCTGCCATTGGATTTAGTGCCGCCTTAAATCCAGGAGGAACTCATCTCAAGGTCCTTAACTATATCTGCAGAGACCTTTCTTCCAAACAAGCTTCCATCCTAAGGGTCCAGGGGTTAGGATGTAGACACATCTTTTTTTTTTTAATTGTGTTAAAATACACATAACATAAAATTTACCATCTTGACCATTTGTAAGTGTCCAGCTCAGTAGTGCTACGCACATTCACATGGTCGTGCAGCCCTCCCACCATCCGTCTCCAGGACTCTTCATCGTCCCAAACTGAAACTCTGTCCCATTAAACACTAGCTCCCCTCCCCCTCCCCCAGCCCCTGGCACCCTCCATCCTACCTTCTGTCCCTGTGAATCTGACTCCTCTAGGGACCCCATATAAATGGAATCATACAGTATTTGCCATTTTGTGTCTGGCTTATTTCATGGAGCGTAGCGTGCTCAAGGTTAATCCATGTTGTAGCAGGTGTCAGAATGTCCTTTTTAAGGCTGAATAATATTCCACTGTACGTGTACACTACATTTTGTCTATCCATTCATCCACCTGTGGACACTGGGGTTGCTGCCATGTTTTGTCTACTGTGAGTAATGCTGCTGTGAACATTGTGTACAAATATCTCTTTGAGACCTTGCTTTCAATTCTTTTGGGTCAGAAGTGGGATTGCTGGATCTTATAATTCTGTGTTTTAACTTTCTGAGGAACTGCCATACCATTTTCCATAGCGGCTGCACCATTTCTCATTACCACCAACAGTGCACAAGGGTTCCGATTTCTCTACATACTCGCCAACACGTGTTGTTTTCTGTTTTTTTGATAGTAACCTGTGACATATCCTTTTGGGGGACACAATTCAACCCACTACCCGCTTGGCCAAGCCTCCTGCACACACAGGGCTGGTAGCGAGCTCTGCTAGCAGCCCCGCTGCAGGCCTGCTCAGAGCCTTGAATGTGCCGAGGCGCCTCTAGCCTCCACTGTGCCAGGGCTGCAGCGTTTTCCTGGAGAGCGCCTGCTGGCAGCCCACCCGGCAGCGGCCCCTGCTCCAGGGGCTGCAGTGGGGGAGCTGGTGGCCGCTCAGGCCACTCAGCCATGCTCGAGCTTTGCCAGGTTTGGGGGCGGGGGGTGTCCCACAGAGGCACCTGAGGGGACGTGGGAACTGAAACCTCGAAGCCGAAACCACAGAAAGTGACGTTTCCTTCAGGTCTGGTGTGGGCGGTCACTCGTGTGAGAGGAGCAAGTGCGACGGGCCGAGCGGAAACAGTCGAGAAGGCAGTGGAGAGAGCTGGGGGGAAAGTAGCCCGGGGCGGGGTGCGGTGCGGCTCAGCGACAGCAGGTGGCCGTGACCCCCGCAGCTGCCGAGAAGCCAACGGAAAGTGAGGAGACGAGCACAGACCTGCATGGGGCCCCTGCTTGGGGCGTGTCACCTCTCCTGTGCCCCTGTCCCCGTAGCAGCAGCCAGCTCCACTCCAGACCTGCCTGGGGCTCCCCTTTGCCTGCAGAGTGAAGCCCCCCCCTTCTTACTGGTCCACGAGCCCCCGTGTGGCCCCTGCGACCCCCCACTCTCCTCCCCTAACATCTGCCCCTCACTCCCCCCTCCAGCCCGCCCACCTTTTGCTGTTCCCAGAACCCGCCAGGCGCTGTCCCACCTCGGGGCCTTTGCCTGTGCTGTGCCTGCTGCCCGTGCTCTGTCCTCCAGCTTTTTGCAGGGCTTGGGCCCTTACTTCCTTCAGGTCTTAGTGCAACATCACCTCCCTGACCTCTCCCTGGCCCTAGCATTTTCTACCCGCTCCTGTTCCATTTTTCTCCCTTACCCTTATCATCATCTGACAGTTTTGTGAACGTGCCCACCAATGGTCTGTGGGGGTGGATCACGGTCTGTTTTGCTCATTTCTGCATCCCCAGCACTCAGCTCAGGGGCTGGCATGTAGTGATGTTGAAAGAAGAAATGAATCCTGGGGCATTGGTGAGGATTACAGGTAGATGTTCCCAGTGGCTTAAACAAAATGGAAGTTTAGCTCTTTCTCTGAAGAGAGGCTATCCAGGGCTGGTGCAGCAGTGTCATGAACTCTTTGGGGACCCCACTTCCCGAAACTACGCCATAGTTTTGCTATTGTCATCATGTGGGTTTCACCTCATGGCCCAAGGTGACTGCTTGTGCTCCAGCCATCATGTCCCATGTTCCAGCCACTGGAAGTTGACACTCCTCTCATCTGAAAGCCTGTGAGACCCCCTTTAGATCACAATTCAGCCTGGAGTGCAGACCCTTCCTCACTCCCTCCCTTCCCCCCTGCCTTTCTTCCGTCACAACCACTGAGGGCTGCTCTGTTCCAGGCACTGGAAAAAAAGGTGAAGGAGTGGGGAGACCCAACAAACCCGACCCAATCCAGTGCTATATGCACCGATGGATGACGGGCTGGCAAAGCAGGAACACAAGAGACACGCCCCGCCAGTCCAGGGCACAGCAACTGCTCCCCACCCACTGTCTCTGCCCCAGCACTGCCCCCAGGGACTGGGGGTGTCTGTCCAGGTCTGTCTCCCCAGCCTTGGGGCTCCTGGGGGCTGGGCCAAGGCTGGATCCTCTGGGGACCCAGCATTGCCCAGCATGGGGTAGGCACAGCAGGGGTGGGCACCAGGATGTAGACCTGCATCCCTGCCCACCCTCCTTCCCTGCCCTGGGACTGCCCCTGGGCCCTACGGAAACCACCAGCTGTGGGGGCCTCAGCCCTGGGAACCGGAGGACGCAGGTGCAGGGTGGGGCGCGGCAGAGGGCAGAGCGGGGCGGGGCGGGGGGTGGGCACCCCCACCCCCCCCACACACACAGACACCCCGGACCACGCTCTGGCTTCTCACCCCCGGCGGCCGGTGTCCGCAGCATCCAGGCCCCTCACAGGCCGCCCTGCTCCCGGAGCGCCCCTGAACCCAGGAACCTGGGCGCCGTGCGGAGGGGAGAGGTGTCTGCTTTGTCTCAGGGGAGCCCAGGAGACAGCAGCAGGATGGGCGGGCGGCCCTCAAGCCCCCTGGACAAGCGGCAGCAGCAGCACATGAGGGGTGAGCGGGGCGGGAGTGGGTCGGGGCTGCGGTTGTGAGGTGCAGGGGATGTCGTGTTGATGTGAGGTCTGGATAAGCAGTGAGTAGTTTGTTTAGTATAATAAGTCCCAAATGTTGCATGATGGTATACACGTGCTAAAAATTATTCCTTATTTACCTGAAATTTAAATGTAACTAGTGTCCTGTATTTTTATTTGGTAAATCTGGTAGCCTTATTCAAGGCATGGGTTTTGGGTGGAGGGTCATGGGCCCAGGTGGGAGGTGCCCCAGGCCCAGCCAGATCTCACAGATGATCCTCTCCCTGCAGGGATCAGCAGGCCCCTCTGTGTGGACCCCAGGGACCGAGTCAGTCTCCGATTTCAGACTAAGAGGGGCTGGTGCCTTCCATCCTCCATACACATGGTTGAGAACCTACTGTGTGTTGGGCACTGGGGACACAGTGGGGTTGGGAAGGGCCCCACCCTTGTGGGCTCATGATCTAGACCAGGAAAGAAGGTCAAGTTATCATTACACAAATGGATTCAACAAGTTACTCTACAGAGTGTCGGGATTTTTTTCTGTAGTGGCTTAAACAAGATAAAGATTTATCTCTCTCCCCTATAGAGGGGTACGGAGTCAGGCAGGTTGATAAAAGTTAGACACCCGAACTTCTTCCACCTCATGTTTCTACCGTGTGTGGCTTGTGTGTCTGAGGTCACCTCATGGTGCAAAATGGCTGCTGAAGCTCCAGTTATCGGGTCCACATTCTAGGCAGCAGGATGGACATATATTTTACATGCAGTCAAGTGCAAACATCTTAGGGGAACAGCTTGAGGAACTTTAACACCTGTGTGATCACCTCCTAGATCAGGGTGCAGAACACTTCCATCACCTCAGAAAGTTCCCTTGTGCCAGGGTGGGGCTTTTAAAAGATTTTCAAAAACCTTCCCAGGTAAAGGGCAAGAGGAAACTTTCAGGTGGGATGGATCTGTTCATTAACTTGATCGTGGTGATGGTTTCACAGATATGTACATGTGTCAAGGCTCATCAAATTGTATACTTTATGCAATTAAAGTTTACTGTAGGTCAGTTATCAGTTAAGCCTGAGTCGCTTAGCTCCCCTCACCATGTGGGTGGAAACCGGCAGTTGGGGGTTACGGGTGAATGGAATTCGGAGCATGTCTTGTTGGGCAGCTCTGGGGTCAGGGTAGGAGCCCACAGGTGGCTTCCCTACCGGCGCTGCCCTCCCCCGGCAGGTCCTTGGGGCCTGATTCTGCTGCCTCGCCGTCCCCTTGTCCCTCCAGGCCGGGTGGACGCCCTGCTGAGGAACTTCCTGCCCTGCTACCGCGGGCAGCTGGCCGCCTCCGTCCTGCAGCAGGTCTCCCGCGAGCTCGGCCCCCAGGAGTCAGCCGGATGCCAGCTGCTGCGCAGCAAAGTGGGTGCCGCTGAGGGAGGAAGGGGCCGAGGGGTGGGGCTGGGGGGGGCGCGTGTTCGGGAGCCCCCTCATGCCTTGCCCGCGCTAGAGCCAAGACCTGGGCTCCTCGTTAGAACTTCAGCCACTGGACAAGCATTCACGCCACGGCCAGGGCTGTCTGCTGTGGACGCAGCCCCTCCCGCTGGGACCCTCCCCGACCCGCTCGGGGCGTCGTGGCCCTGGGCGTCACCCCACCCGCAGCTTTTGCCACCTGCTGGTTCCAGCTGCTGGGCTGGGGCGGGCCGATGCTGGGCTCTGCGGGGTGGAGAGGGTTCCCCTCGCTGCAGTCTGAACATTCTCTTTAATACGCGGTTTATACACTCATTATGTGCGTGATTTCTATAGTAACGTTTGAACAATATGATTATGAAAAGTCTGAGATGGAAGAAAAGGCCCGGAATCATGTAACAAACACCTGGGTTCCCGCCACCCTGCCGAAGAATCACAACGTCACAAATGCAGTTGATTTATTCATCAAGTATTGGTCTTGCCGCATCTGTGCCCCGGGCCCTGCTCTGGGCCCAGTGGCAAAACAAAAAGCACACAATTCAGGTGGCCGGGTGGTGAGAAGAGTGACAAAGAAGTGGAAACAAGGTGACGTCCCAGCCTGCCTGAGGGAGGGCTCTGTGGACGGAGGCCGGCCGTTCCTCAGAGAGCTAAACCACACCTGCTCCGTGTCCCCTGGAGCCCCTCGCATCAGCTAGCTGTGCTGCGCCACGGGCGCCACGCCATCCGGGCCTCAAGAACACACCTGCGAGTCGCCCGGGTCAGGAGTCGGCTGCGGCTGCCCTGAGTCCTTTCTGTCAGTGTCCCTCACAGGCTGCAGACAAAACGTGGGCTAGGGCTGGGGGCTCATCTGAGGCTCGAGCGGGGACAGGTCTGCTTCCAAGCGGAGCGAGGATGGCAAGAGTGTCTGCCTCCCGGGGCTGTGGGAGGATCACATCAGCTCATGTTTGGAAGTGCCACAGACGAGAGCACGCCCTGAGCAGGCTTGACACGGAATAGCAGCCCCACTTCAGCAGTGCCTGAGTGCCCTGCACTCGGTGATGCCCAGGACACGGTGGGTGGTCCAGACATGGGGACCTTGGCCCGTGCCCCCGACATCTGCCAGCCCCTCCTCCTGCAGAAGCTGCCTCGAGTCCGAGAGCACCGAGGGCCCCTGACCCAGCTGTGGGGCCACCCACCCCAGTGGCAGCCGATCTTCTGTGTCCTGCGTGGGGACGGCCGCCTGGAGTGGTTCAGCCACAGGGAGGTGAGTGAGTGGCCTGTGTCCCTTTGGCCTCCGGCCTCTCCATCCTGCACTACCCATCCTGGGTTTGGGGTCCAGCTCCCAGCATAGACCCCTCCGCTCTTCAATCATCTAGGATGAATCGAGGTCCCCTGTGTGCTTGGCCCAGGGCTAGGTGACCATCTCCTGCTGTGCTGGGTGGGTAAACTGAGGCCCAGGCCGGGAGTAGGGACTCACTCGCAGTCAGCAGCGGAGCTGAGGTTGAAACCATGTGAGGCCTTTGTGAGTCACGCCTGAGCCCTGCTTCCAGGCTGGGGAACTCCTGCAGGTCACTGTCTCCCTGGGACTCAGTTTCCACCCCTGTGAATTGAGGGGATGATTGTCCACACGACATGGGCTTGAGGATTCGATGACAGTCCTCATACAGCACTTGGGGCTGGCCCCACACGCAGTGGGTGCTGGCGGTGCCACTGTGTGGGAGGGAGAGCAGGAGGGGGCGGGGGAGTGCAGGGGTGGGTGGGGGACTTCCTCAGCTAACCCAAGACCTTACCCTGGTCCCACAGTTGGGACATGGAAGCTATAGTTTAGACCTGTCCCAACCGCTTCTCTCAATGCCTTTTGTAGGAATATGAAAATGGGGGCCATCCCCTGGGCTCCACGGCCCTGACGGGGTACACAGTCCTGACTTCTCAGCGTGAATATCTCCGCCTGTTGGATGCTCTCTGCCCAGACTCCTCAGGTAAGGCTCCCGGGGACCCCAGGAGCGGGTTCCTCGACTTGAGCACTGCTGGCAGTGGGGCTGGACCATTCTGTGCTGGGGGGCCCCTGTGCATTCCGGGGTGTTGAACAGTATCCCTAGCCTCCACCCACTTGGTGTCAGTAGCGCCCCCACCCCAAGTATGACAACCAAAAATATCTCCAGACACGGTCAAGTGTCCCGTGGAGGGTAGCACGGCCTCTGGGTGAGCACCCCAGCTCTAGAAAGGGAGACACCCACTCTCCTCAGAACGAGAGAGTCAGGTCACCGGACCAGAATCCAAGTAAGCAAGAGCAAACACAGTCAAACCTGTGTCAGCAAGCGTGTGCGGAGGCGGGCCCTGGGGCCAGGAAAATCGCGCAGACTTGCTGCGGGGTGTGCTGTCCGGCCCGGCGTTTCCAGGAGGGTTCTCCCTCTGTCCACCCTTCACTCTCACGCCGCCCAGGAATAGGGTCAGGAGCAGCTCGGGCCCCGCGTTGTCTCCTGAGTCCGCAGGAGGCAGCCCCACCACTAACTACCCCATCCACCACGAGGACACTGAGGCTGAGCATTGTCACACAGTACGGGGCAGCAGCCAGAACTGCAGCCTCTGCTTCAGTGTGGAGCCATCCCGATGCCAAGTGACACAGAGATGCAGCAGCGTGGACCGTCTGCAGAAGCGGTGACGCTGACGACGTCGGGACTGCCCAAACACCCGTCCTCTGGGGTCGATCACTAAGTTACAGCCGGGCCCTCAGACAGGAAAGCGCAGCCGCTGAACGTGGCCCAGCCCTATGCCAAGAGCGAGGGCCAGTTATAGGCCGGGAAACGCCACCTCGTTACAAAAACACACGCCACGCAGCTCTGTGCAGGTTTACAAACCTGGAGCGATGTCCCTCCAAACGCCAGCAGCTGTTGTCATCTCTGGGGCTGCGGGGGAAGGGCCGAGTGAGCGGCAACTGCCCGATTACGCGTCTTCCCGCAGTCTGTATGTGCCACTCGGGAATCAGGACAGCACACTGAGGATTCAGGAGACCCCAAAGAGACTAACCCAAGGTAAAGTCCCTCCTCTGTCCTCCCAGCAGTTCTAGATCATTGGTATCACTTTTGAGCCCATGTTACAGGTAGGAAAACCGGTTCAGAGAGACGGAACCTGGGCCCTGCGCAGAGCTGGAAAATGGTGTGGCCGGGTTCCAGTCTGGGCCTGGCTGACCGCAGCGCCCCGTGGCAAGCAGGGCTCAGGTCGCATGCCGGCTGGGATGGATTGCTGGTGGTGGCCCAGGCTGCTGCATCAAGGAGCGTGCTGAGGCTGGGAGCAATGCTGGGACGCAGTGCCCACGTCCGCCCTGGGGCACCTCTCCCTGGGGCTGAGCTGGAAGAAGGACAAGGCGACTGAAGCAGCTGGCTGGCGCTTACGCTTACGGAGCAACCTCCTTGCCAGGGGCTCCTCTGAGCGCGTCGTTTATTTTCTGCTGGTGAATGGGTGCTTCTAGAGTGCGCGAATGAGCGAAGATGCACCCTCCTCTGTCTGCTTTCAGAAGACCACATACAGGGAGAGCCTGCCCCCCTCCTGGAAATGCCCGTTAGCTGCCCCCTGTTCCTGCAGCACCCTTTCCGCCGGCACCTCTGTTTCTCTGCAGCCACCGGGGAGGCACAGCGTGCCTGGAGGCTAGCCCTGCAGGGTGGCATCCGGCTTCGCGGAACAGGTGGGTCCCAGGAACGGCTGGGCAGGAGTGGCTCCGGGTCTGCCGTCGGATGGCTCTGCCCCTGCTGGCTGTGGGACCCTTTCCAAGCCTCAGTTTCTTTATCTATAAAATGGATCATTGGGGGAGATAAAGGGGACAACAGGCAGTTATGAGTGGCCAGGGCTGTGATGGGGACACATGGGCCCTGTGGAAGCTTAGCCTTGGGGATCAGGGAGGGCTTCTCAGAGGAAGGGATGTCATAGCTGGGGTCTGAAAAAGATAAGGGGCCAGCCAGCTAAAGAAGGGGAACAGGACTGACACATACAGTTGAGTAGGTTGTTGACTGCACAAATGTACCTAACAAGAGGGGCAGCTGGGGACTGCAGTGCTGCCTGGGCTGTGACTGCCCTCAGGGGATGCCTTTTCCTAAATCGTATAAGCACCTTATGGGCTATGGATGGTCTTGGGGGGGCGTGTTCCCTGCAGAGGGCACTGCCTGTGCAAAGGTCTGGAGGTGGGTGAGACTTGGGTGTTGTGGGGCCTGGGGAGGAGGCGGAGGGCTTCCCCCTCAGGCGATGGGGAGTTAGGCAGACGTGGAATGGGGGAGGTGTGGCCGGGCACTGAGGAGTCGCCACTCAGTCCTGCAGCGAAGCCAGGCCCCAGCCGCCCGAGCCTTCCTGGAGGCCGTTCGGCTCTATCGGCAGCACCAAGGCCACTTTGGCGATGACGACGTGACCCTGGGCTCGGACGCCGAGGTCAGTGCCGCCCGAGGCCGCACCCCGGACCTCCAAGACCCCTGTCGCCGGCCGCGGCGCCCACGCCCCCTCTCCCGCAGGTGCTGACCGCGGTGCTGATGCGGGAGCTGCTGCCTGCGCTGCGAGCCCAGACCCTGTCCGTCCTGCGGGGGGCCGGCCGAACCCGGGCCTGGGCCTGGACCGAGGTATGCGCGGGGTCGCGGAGGGGGACAGGGACACGCGGGGGTCGCGGGGCATGGGGGCCGGATCCAGGCGCCCAGGTTCCCCCTCCCCACGACTGTCGCCTGAACTCTCTCCCCGTCTCTCTGCGTCTCTGTCTCTCTCTCTCTGTCCCCCCACCCCCGCCCCCTGGCCCGTGTGGGGTCCGCTGGACGGGTCCGGGCAGCTCCTGGACGCTGTCCACGCCGCTGTCCTGGCCGGGGCCTCCGCGGGCCTCCGCGCCTTCCAGCCAGAAAAGGACGAGCTGCTTGCGGCCCTGGAGAGGACGATCCGCCCCGACGTGGACCAGATGCTGCGGCTGCGGGAGGGCGTGGCGGGGAGGCTGCGGGGTGAGCCCCGGGGCGGGGCCTAGACGGGGAGGGCGGGGCCTAGAAGGGTGGGCGGGGCCTAGACAGGGGCGGGGCCTGGGCAGAGGGGGCGGGGCCGGGAGCCTGGGAGGGAGAAGGGGAACCGGGTGTAAGGGGCGGGGCCTGGAGCCTAAGAGGGAGGAGGGGAACAGGGGTGTAAGGGGCGGAGAATGGGCGGGGAGGGGCGGGGCCGGGAGCCTGAGAGGGAGACGGGGAACAGGGGTGTAAGGGGCGGGGCCAAGAGTCTGAGACCCGAAGACCCGGCGGGGCATGGAGGGCGGAGCCCAGGTGCGAGAATGGGCGTGGTCTGGAGCCTGGGGCTCCAGGGGGCGAGACCAGGGCAGGGTGAAGAGGAAGGGCAGGGCCGTGAGAAGGGGCGGGCCCGGGACGGAGCAGATGAGGCCGCGAGAGAGGGGCAGAGGCACTGGCAGTGGCACGTGTGACCTGGGTTGTCCGAGTTGTCCGGGTCAGATGGCAGAGGTGGCTCCCACTCTGCTCAGTAACAGAGAGAACTGGATTGGAATCCGGCCTTTGCCTCTCTGGCCTGTGCCTTTGAGTAGGTACCCACCACGCTCCAAGCCTCAGTTTCCTCTTGTGTAAAGTGGGTAGAAGAAGGTGCTCAGAGTCTGTGCTCCCGTCCACCTCACGCTGCTGAACCCAGGGTCGCCCCCCCTCTGTGTGTGGAGCACCTCGCAGAGGAGACCCAGGCCAGTGTCTTCCACTCCCAGCCTCGGTCCAGGGCCCCCTGGAGTCGTGCCTGCGCGGGAAGGTGGCCACGCAGCTGCCCCGGGTCACGCAGACGCTGGTGAGCACCGTGGAGGCCACACTGGCGGCAGTGCAGACCCTCCTAGCCCAGGGCATGGACCGCCTCTCTCGCCACCTGCGTGGGTGCCCCTCGGGCCTGCGGCTGCGTGAGGAGGTGAGCTCCAGTGGGTGGGGGGGGAGGCATCGGTCCATGGCCAATGTATTAACTTTACAGGAGGGTTCCGTGAACCTTACATCTTCCTTGTTTGAAAACCTTTTTTGAAAATGTTCTCTGAACTTTGTTCTAGGCTGCTTTTTACTTATTGTGGACCACCATGCTATATCGTCATTGGGGCACAGTTTAAAACGTGGGGGGAAAGGAGTAAGATGACAAGAGTAGCATTTTAGCAACATCAGTCTGGAGTCAACTTCCCCCAAACCCCTCCTCCTCCCCTTCCTCTGTTTGGCCACAGCCCACCCTCATCCCCTGAGCCAGAGAATTCTACTCCATGCAGGTCAGCTCAGTTCTTCTGATGTTAAATGAGCACCTACTGTGTGCCAGGAAACTTTCAACTGACTAAGCCTCCATTTCATAATTGCCTCCTCCAGGAACTTTCCCTGGTCCCTTTCTGCATCCACAGCCACCTGTGCTTCCCTCCTCGCAGAAGCGTTTACACACCATTGTGGTTGTTTGTCTACAGTCTATCTCCTCCAACTTTTCCGTGAGCTCCCCAAGGGCTGGATTACTCCATTTCTGCAGCCCCGGGGCCCAGTACAGAGAGGGCATCAGGCGGTGGGTGTAGGTGCGACAAGGGCTAAGTGTACCCATTTCCCCTCCGTCCTACCAGCACCCCATGTTATCATTTTTTTAAGGTCTTACTGTTTTATGTCCATCAGATTGTACCTCACTGTTACTTTATATGCATTTTTTTGGTGACAACTGAGGTGGGATGTGTTTCCATTGGTGCTCCTCCTTTGATTAATTGGCTGTGGGGTCCTTGGCCCTGCGTTTCCATTGGCTGATGGTGCTTTTCTCACCTGACTGCCATTGGAGCCCAGGTTTACGCATTTGGGGAGATGCCGTGGGACCCAGAGCTGATGCAGATCTGCTACCGCGAGGCTGAACGGAGCCGGGGGCGCCTGAGGCGACTAGTGGTGCCATTTGGCTTCTGCGGGACTCGAAACCTGGTGTTTGGGGCCCAGGATCTCGCACAGCAGGTGAGGGGCAGTGGGGGGCTGGGAGGGAGAAGGGGAACAGGGTGGTGTAAGGGACGGGGCCAGAGCAGCAGCCTGCACTGAGCAGGTGCCAAGTGTGTGTGGGAGGACCACGATGACACAGATGACTGGGCCCCGCCTTGCCAGGCTCCCAGTGTCGTGCTGACACAAGCCCATGACCAGACGGTGACCGCACGGGGTGGACAGGGCCGTGGTGGGGATGCACAAGGTGCTGGGGGAGCCCCGAGGAGGCGCTGACCCATCTGCAGGGTTGGAAGACCTTCCAGGAGGAGGGGACTTCCAAGCTGGGGCAGCAGTGGGAGGACTGGGTGGTGGGGCATGTCCTGGGTGGAAGGAAGAGCGTGGATAAGCACTGGGAGGTGAAAGAGCTTGTCTGCATTTGGGGAAAATGAAGCAATTTGGAGATATTGAGTTGTAGGTTTTGAGGGAGGGCAGAAAGGTGGGAGATGTGCCCGTGAGGTGGGTGGGCAGATGGGTCAGGGCCTTGAGTATGGGGCTAAGGGACGGGCTCTGTCCCGAGGGCAGTGGGGAACCACAGCAGGTGTGTGAGCAGGGGAGAAGCGAGACCAGACTCAAGGTTTGGGAAGCCCCGCCGGCTGTGGGGAGCAGGGCTGTCAGGGCAGCAGTGGGGGAGGCAGGGAGGAGGCCTGAACCAGGTAGGGTGCTTTTAGTGGAGAGAAGCGGGGTGTGTTTTGAAGGCCAAAGAGATGGGACCTGCTGATGGACATGGTGAGTGAAGGAGACAGAAATTGGGATGACCCAGTGCTGCTTGGCTCAGTTGTTCAGTTTGTACACTGCACAAGAGTACTCAGCCAAGGAGGCTAAACTCTGGCCAGCTTTCTACTTCCCAGGCTGGGCACCCTGGCACCATCCTCCGGAAGGGAGGGCACTTGTTGCCTGTTTGCATATAGGTCCTCACTGACTGGATGGCCCCCAGGTCCTGAGAGGCGAGGGGTGCTGTTTCTTGAGACCAGGGGGAGGTTGGGGGAAGTGGCAAGTTGGGGACAGGCTGGATGCTGAGAAGGGATCAGCAGACAGGCACAGGGCCAGAAGGCCAGAGCGTGGATACCAGGGCTGTCCCAACTCCTGCTCCCGCAGCTCATGGCCGACGCTGTGGCCACCTTCCTGCAGCTGGCTGACCAGTGTCTGACCACGGCCTTGGACTGCGGCCAGGCTGCGCAGCAGCTGGAGAAAGTCAGGGGCCGCGTGCTGAAGGTGAGGCCCGGGAGGGCGTGGCGGCGGGCCGCATGCTCAGACGGCCGCTGGACCGGCCGCTGGGTGTGTCCTGCAGAAGTTCCGGTCGGACGGCGGCTCGGCGCGGAGGAGGCGCGTGCGCGGGTGGCTGCTGCGCATCTTCCTGCCCTTCGTGCTGAGCCAGCTGGAGCAGAGCTGCAGAGCGGTGAGCCGCCGCGGGGCGTCCGCGTCTCTCTGCGAGGCGGGCAGGAGCTCTCCCTCACAGAGCGACTGGGGCAGTCAGGGGCTTGTGCTCCCCGGGCCCTGGGGCTGGGCCAGGCGGCCCTCCTGGGCTCCCCCAGCGCCCTCTGCCTCTCCCACACCTGCGCTCAGTGCTGGCCGCCTGGGAGCTGGGCGGTCCCGTGCGTCACACGTCAGCAGAGGACACCGGCTTCAGAGACAGGAGGAGGCAGAGGGGGAGTGTGCGTGTGTGGGTGTGTCGGGGGTGCCAGGTGGTCAGGGAGGCTCTCCCTGAGAAGATGAGCCTTGAGAAGCAGCACGCTGACGGCGGGAGCCGTCCGGGGAAGGGCGCTCGGGGCAGAGGCCACAGCATGCTCCCTGAGGCCGGCGGGGCCGTGAGCTGGAGGCACGGTGAGGAGGCGAGCGTGGCTGAGCTGGGGAGCGAGGGGCGGGAAGGACATGGGAGAGGTCCCAGGGCCTGGCGACACGGGGCCTAGGGGCCCTGGGCAGGGGTCTGCCCAGGTGCTCAAGACCCTGTGGAGGAGGCAGCCGTGGGGGCCCAGGAGACCCTGCACTGCTCCCGCTGACGAGGGCGGTGCCTTGTCTCCACCACCCTCGCAACCACCACGGGGAATTTGGGTCAAGGAGTCCATTTGAAAGACAAGGAAACTGAGGCCCAGGGCCTCTCAGCTAATCAGGGTCAGGGCTGGGGCTGGAGCCCGTGTCCCAGCCCAGGCCTCCAGCCCAGCCTCTACTCCCTTGTGGCAGGAGCTGCCTGCACTGGAAGCGGACGTCCTGGCCGCGGGCAGCCCGGCCCTGACCATCGAGGGCGTCTATGAGGACGTCGTCCGGGGGCTCCTGCTGCAGAGGATCGACTGGGGTGAGCCCAGCCCCCAGGGCTCAAGGAGGCCGGGTGACCCTGCTTGTACACTGAGCCTCCCAGGGCCTGGCACCGCTCACCTCCTGTGAACACTGGCCCTCAGCCTGAGGGTCGCAACGGGGACAGAGGGAAACTGTGAGGGGCAGTGATGGAAGCTCCCTGAAGGAGAGGGCATTGCAGCAAGGCTGTGAGGGGTGTGTAGGAGTTCTCAGGATGAGAGGAAGGAAGCAAAATTCAAAAACTGAGGATAGACATTCACATTTATCAATTCAACAACCACCCCCTGTTTTTCTCTGAGCCGGCACTGAGGTCTTGAGAGTTCTTGGACTTGGGGTAGGCCTCTCAGGATCTCTGGGGCTGGGAAGCGGCTCCAGAACCATCTCTTCTCCCTCCCACCTCGTCAGTTCCCTCGTGACCCGATGCCTGTGACTGCTGAGACCTGTGCACTAATGGGATGAGCAGTGTGAGACGGCGACTCGGGATGTCGCGGCATCCGCGTGGCCTACGCAGAGGGCGTGAAGGGGAACGGCAGGAAAGGAGGCTGGAGGCCGCCGGGGCAGACACGCAGGGCTGTGGGTGACAGGCAGAGGAGTTGAGCCTCTTTTGGGCAGGCAGTAGGGAGCCACGGAAGGTGTGTGAGCAGAGGTCAACGGTGGCCAGACTGGGAGCGAAAGAGGGAGGCTGAGGGGATCGTCCCGGGGCCACCAGGAGGATAGAGCCGGCCTGAGGACGAGGCAGGAGCCGGAGTGCCAGAGTTGTTGACCTGGGAGGTCACTGCGTGCACAGGAGGGGCCCAGCCAGGCATGGTGTGTAGAGATAGGAGAGGCACCCCAAAGAGCCTGTGTTTGAAGGACACAAAGAGGAGGCAGGGCTGTACAAGGAGTGGCTGGAGAGGTGGGGGAGACCCGGAGACCCCAGGGCTCTGGGAGCCAGGAAGTAAGGATGAGGACGTGTCCTTGGTTTGTGGGCGTCCAAATAAAAAGAACCGAGTTCCCTTAGAAAAGGGGACATATTAAGTGGAAAAAGGCTGTTCTTTGATTGGAAAAGAAAAATCCGGAAACAGGTAACCTCAGACACCACCCATTCCTGGAGGTTGTACACGTCCTTAGGGGGCTCCATCTTCAATTGATGTGTGATGTCTGCCTGGAGCGCTGTGTGGGGAGGGAGGGCCGGCAGTGTCCAGGCTCAGTGAAGCTGTGGGGATTGGCTAGCAATGTCTGCCACGGTCACGGACATGGGGAGAGGCTTGTGTGAACCACTTGTTGAGGGCTCCTGGCTGAGGCATTTCCTCCCGCCTTTGCCCTCCTGTGGCCTCTCGGGGAGAATGTATGGAAGCCGTGGGATGCCAGGCTTCTCCAAGTGGGTACCAGGCTTTATCTCTTGTTTTAGAATTGAAGAAGGCCCTTGATGCCGGTGACGTGTGCTGTGCTCTGGATCGCTGCTTGGTGGCTCCGTGGGACCAGGTGGGAGCGGGTGAGGCCCTCACAGGTTCTTGGACTATGTCAGTGAACTGCTGGGGGCTGGCGGCCTGTGCAGGGTATACGGGATGGTCGAGAATGTAGGTTCCTGGATGGAACAGCATGCACCTTGTCCCATGGCGTGGCTGGGTTGGCCACGCTCACAGTGAGCAAGGGTGATGGGAGCCACGGAGTGTGTCAGAGCCATCAAGGGACCCTCTGACACGCACATGAATTTGTGTCCCCTCTCCTCTTGCCAGGACTCAGTGGGGCCTCTGCCAGCAGTTGCTGGTTCCCAGCACTTTAGGGGAGGCTGTGGTGATGGGTGCCTTGGGTTCCCTGTGAGCAAGGGCAGCCGGGCCTCCTACTACAGGCCCCCGTGGCAAGCTCCTTGTTGGAACGGTACATGCGTGTAGGGCCCAGGCTGACACTGCTGGTGGTGCAGGGACCCTCCCCTCCAGCCCTGAGATGGGAATGTTCCATGGGGACCTCTCTGAGCTGGGGCAGAAGACAACTGGTCCTCTGGGCAGGATGTCTGTCGTCTGGATGCTCAGCACCCAGGGCAGATGCAGGGATCCTGGAGCAGCTCCCAGCTCAGCCCCCGTGGGTATTGCTGCTGTGAGAGCCTTGTGAATCCACCCAGCTAAGCGGCTCCCACATTCTTCACTCACAGAAAGTCTGAGATAATAAACGTGTGCTGTTTTCAGCGGCTAGCTTTGGGATTATTTGTTAGGCAGCAGTAGCTAACCGATACACTCCCCAGCTGATCTGGGGCAGCATCTCATAGTTGATTGCTGCAGATAAACTGATGACTATTCACACTCACTGGGATTAATGAAGATTTAACAGTCTTAGAAAGACTTCTGGGTGTCAGAATACTTGGGGATTTGCAGTCGGGGATGGGGGATGGTAGATGGGCCCCTTAATCTATTTCACCGAATCTAACTGATGATGGGCGCTTTGCTTCTCGTCTGTTGCACTAACAGCTAACGCCACAGTGTATGAACTTGTACATGCTTTCCGTGGAAGCGCAGGTCTCGGCGGGTGAATTCCCAATGTGAAACCTCAGGGTAGATGGTGTGTGTTTGTCATTTCAATCGCGGTCTCCAGAGCACTCTCTGCCGGGGTCCTGCCTGGTGCCCCTCACCTCTGTGTGGGTGGCCCATTTCCCCACAGGCTGCCCGGGCTGCCAGCTGACTCGGGATTTCTCAGATCTTCTGGGTGAAAACAGTGTCCTGGCTTCACTGTAATGAGCGTGTCCTCGTGGGGATGAGGGCGGGAGTCTTCCATGTGCTTGGAAGCTTCTCTGTGAACCTCTCTTCGTCTCCTTGGCCCACTGATCTTCTAGGTGCTTACAGATTTCTATGAAGTTTTTATTACTAAGCTTCCATTTTCTGAGCATTTATTATGGGCTAGGCACCTGACGTGTCCAATGTTTTGACCTCCTTATGACACTTTCCATTTTACAGATGAGGAAACTGAGGCCCAGAGAGGGACTTGCTCCAGGCGACCAGGCCCCGGTGCTGAGGTCCAGCCACTCTGCCCCCCGCCTACTCCAAGGACATTCCCGAGCTGAATCCTCGCCCACATTCATCCTTGTTCCCAATGGAGGCACATCTACTAGTGGAGTTTCTAAGTCAAAGCATATGCACCATCGCAAGGCCTTTTAACCCCCATGCTTCCACCACCTCCTCTCCAGAAATGCTGTGCTTTTCCCCACTCCCACCAGCATGCTTTGTGCGTATTCTCCATATCCTTTTCAAACACTGGGAATTTTCATAAAAGAAAAAATTGTCAATTTGATAGACACACACACAAATTTCATTATTTTATTTTTAATTTCTTTGATGAATAAATTGAACCTAAAATGTTTATTGGCCATTTATATGTTTGTGGGTTTTGCTTTGTTTTGTTAGTGAATTGCCTACTTTTGTCTTCAGGAGATTTTATCATTTTCTTATTGATCTCTAAGAACTCTTTGTATATTAAGGATATTAATGCTTTGTTATACAGGCTGCAGATATTTTTTCTCAGCTTGCTGTGGGCCTTTGGGGTTTGTTTACTTGCTCCAAATCTTAACTTGGTATCAAGTTTCCCAGCTGAAAGTAGAGCTTTTACTGACTTCCCTCTGCTTGCCAGAAGAATCATCTCTCCACTTGGGGTTGGCAGCTTCTCCACATCACAAGCCTTGCAGCTGCTTCCGGAGCAGGTTCCGGAGGGATTTCCCCAATGTTCTTCTCAGTTCAGGTTTCAGAGGGGGACATGCACGCTCCACGGAGACGGTTTCCTCCTATTCCGCCCTGGGGATCTCAGCGTCCCCCAGGAGAATGAGATTTTCCTCAACTTTCCTGATGTTCGCCCTACTGCCCCTGCACACCCTGAGGACACACTACCTGTACCCTGAATTTTACTCTACAATATTGAGTCTCCCTACACCACTCACGTTCATAAATATACATCTGAGCATCATTCTTAAAACCTATGTTTTAAGAATGACACAAAAACGATCAATCAGAAACTACATGAAAGTGTTGGAAAACAACCCCTTGGTAGCATTTCTATGGGAACGTCCAGCACGTTCAAGCGTCATCGGCTCCATCTGCACACCAACCCTGCGGGGTCGGTCGTGACCGCATTTTACAGGTGGACAAACTGAGGCTCACACAACGAGCCCAGGGGGCCTGGATTTGAAGCCAGGTCTGGGGACGCCGGGGCCCGTGTGCTTAATACACAACAACCCCCGAGGACACCTCAGCGAGGTAGGAACCAGGATGGTAAAACCCAGGTTGCCGCCGAGGAAACTGAGGCTCAGATCTTTCCAGTCCCAGACCAGGTCCTAAGTATCCGGGTCCGCCTGGTGACACAACTCGGGTCCTGTACGCATGGAAGTTGGACAGCGGATCGGGTGGGGGTCTCGGCGGGAGCAGTCGCCCGGAGGCACGGCAGCTTCTGAGCCCAGATACCTTTAAGGCATGGAGCCACGTCCGATTGGAGGCTTCCGTGCGTTCTGTGCCTTTAAGGCCGTCCGGAGGCGGGGCCTGGGAGGCGGGCCCTGGGAGGCGGGCCCTGACGGCTGATTCACGCCGGGCGCTCTCCTCCCCTTTAAGGCGCGCGGCAGGGGCGGGGCCCCGACGGCCTCTTTAAGGCGCGGTCGGCGTCTGCCGGCAGAAAAGCGGCTTAAAGGCAACGCGTGGCGCGATGGCGGCGGCCCCACGCGCGTGCCGGCGGCGCGGGCGGCCGCTCCCGGCCTCGCTGCTGCTGCTGCT